ATATCCTTGGCACCCACCGTCAGGAAATCAAAACACTTATCGCACTGTCAAAGTCTGCTCTAAGATAATGCTCAAAAGTGCTACAGAGCAATGATGTCAGTTTGAAGACTAAGGTGCACCTGATCAAAACTTTAATCTTTTCACTTACTACATAACTGAGTGATGACAGAGGAATTGATGTCTTTGAGTTGTGGTGTTGACAAATGCTGAATATCCCATGGAGTGGCAAAAAGACAAATACGTTTTGGAAAAGGTGCAGCCAGGGTGCCTTGGAGGTAAGGACAGTGAAACTTTGTCTCACATACATTGGACATGTTTTTGAGAGGGACCATTCCTTGGGAAAAGACACCATGCTTGAAAAGGTGGAGTGTCAGTGAAGGAGGGGAAAAGCCTCAAGGAGAAGGACTGATATAGTGACTTTAATGGTAGGCTTAAGTATGCCAGAGATGAGGAGGTGACACAGGGATCATAGTGTCACTATGAGTCGTAGTGGACTCAAAGCACTTGGCAACAATTGATTAGTTAGGGAACTCTGGTGGCCAAGTGGATAGAGAGCTGCATGTCAATCTAAAGGCAGAACGATGAACAATATCCTCCTTCACAGCCTCTAAAAAACTGCTGGAGGTTCATTCAGTTGAGTCAGTTTCGACTTAACAGTGAGTTTGAGAGATGAGTGTCAAGCTATGCCTTTCCCTTGAAAAGAGACCTTTTCAGCTCCATTTAATATGCTAGAGTACAGTGATACTATATTCTGATGACACTGGAGGACACCTAATAAACAAGTGAGAGTGTTTGCAGAGACTGCGGGACAGAGTATTTGCCTCTGTCTTGATTCTGGCTCTACAAGCCAGTTCAGCAAACTGCTGTTTTCATCGGCCCAAGAGGATGAACAGCAACTGATAAACGTCCTCCTAGCTTGGTTCTTTGACTTCCAATTCTCCCATGGGTGTCTGGACTTGGTGTCTGTATATGATCGCTGGTTGCTATCTGACCCTAGCTTTCTGGGGAGAGGGGGAGCTTTGCCTTGGCAAGCTTTCCTGTGGCTCTGCACCCCAGGTTGTCTCATCAAGAATCTAGGTTCCCGTCCCATCCCAGGAAATATGAACTCCTAACCTTGGAGCTGGGCTGAGCCGTATGTTTGTCTTTTTTGGACCTCCCCCATCACGCTCTTCCTCCCTTAGTCCCCCACACGTTAAGCATACCCACACACTTACACAGATGGCTGGATGATGGAAGTTCTGCTGGATGAAGAGCTTCTCTTGAAAAGTTCAAATCTACAGAGAAGGTTAAGCCTCATGGTTACATACAACATGTGAGGTATTTTAGACATTTAAGTAGTTCTGCACACTAGCAGTCAGGGACTGAGGGTCTTTATGCAAAACAGGTTCACCCTGTAGAGGGTTAAACCAGGATGCTCCTTGTAGGCAAGAGTTCTGAGGCTTCGTCTAACATAGTTTGGACATGTTGTAAGGAGGGACCGGTCCTTGGAGAAGGACATCATACTTGGGGGTTGTGGAGGGATAGGGCAGGAGGGTAGACCCTCTATGAGGTGGATTGATTTAGTGACTGGGGTAATGGGGTGGGTGTGTCGGAGACAGTGTGATTGGCACAGGACAGAGCAGCACAGAAGACAAGGATCATTTTTAAGGTTATGATGAGGCAGAGAGTCAGCTAGGACAAAGGCACCCGAGTTTGCTGTTGTGACCACCCAACACCTCTCTCCCTTCAACACAAGCTGCCAGTGCAATGCCCCCAGCACAGTGAGTGAATGCAGTGTTCCCAGTCCGAGGAAGCCTGCTCAACCTCCACGCACGTCTCCACTCAGAGCTCCCCTGACCTCAATAAATGAAGAAGAACCAAGATAATGGAGAAAAAGAAAATCAATTCTGGTGCTGTAGTTCGTCGCTAGTCATACTGCTAACTCAAAGGCCATACAACTCTGGCAGTTCAAATCCAGCAGCTGTTCTGTAGGAGAAAGATGAGCAGTCTCCTCCTGTTTAATAGTCATTTATTGTCATTGAAACCGATGTGGGAGTTGCTTTGAGTCAGACAGAAGTGATTCAATGGTAGTGAGTCTGAGCTTTTTTTAAAAAAAAATACCCTTTCTTGGTTTATAACTGACCGATTTTAAAGATGCTCATATATTTTAAAAATGTTCAAAAATATGCTCATCTATCTATGACTCTTTAAAAAACCCAGTGCAAGGGTATTTTTACACAAAAACACACAGACACATACATACCCATAGCTGACCGTCTGGCAAGTTTTCAGAGGCAATTAATCGCACAGGAGGAGATTTCCCATCCTTCTCCCATGGAGCAGTGGGTGGATTAGACCCCATGTGCCTTTGGAATTGCAGTGCAGCTTCTTGTCACTAGGTCACCAGTGCTCTTGTATATATGTGTATGTATTTAAAAAAATTGTATAGTGATTTTAATGAAAGTTTACACAAAGGTTGGGTTTTCGTTTACTCATTGTTGCATTTTCCACTGTCCTCTCCCTTTCTCCTCTTCGTGGTCACTTGGTATTGTACCTTTTGCTCCAGATTAAGTGTCGTACATATAATGCCTAATTATACATTCTTTTCAAACAGCCCTTCCCTTCATCTGATCCAGTGGAGTGTTCATTATCTATCCATTCTTTTGTATATATGTATTTTTAAAGGGGGTCTGCAAAGTAGGCCCCCAAACGTATTAGAACTGAATGTATCCAATGCCACTTAAAAAATTCCTAAGGGATTTTATTTTCCTCTCAAGGGTACAGTTACACTTGCAAATGAAAATCACAGAGCTGGAATCGCAGAGCATCAGAACTGAATCGAATCTTGATGAGTTCTGCTCCCTCGTTTCAGAGATGAGGAACTTTCAGCCTAGAGGGTTAATTGACTGGTAAATTTGAGAGCCGGTATTAGAACCCAAAGGTCGTGACTGCTAGTCAGGGAATTTTCAATCAGGGAAGCTACTTAAAACTCTTCGAATTGTATCCTACTGTCATATTCTATAATTACACTTGGTTTGCTGGACCTGAAAATACCAGGCAAGAGAGAGCTCCAATTACAAGAAATCTTAATGATTGATGCAAACAAATGCAAAGAATCCACTGGTTCCTCATTCCTCCGAAGGCCTGAGGCAGGATAGTTTCACTTCTTAGAAGTATACAGCTGTCCTTGCCCCATGTTACTGTAGAAATCAAGCCAGTTCATGGTAAGCTTACCCAAATGGCTAAGATCCTATACCTTTCAGCACGGTGATGTATACAGTTTTCTCTGCTCAAACTTTGGGAGAACTGTATAAACAACGCCTCCTGCTGGCCATCATGCGAAAATGCAGAAGTCACAGCTGACATAAGCAGGAGTCTGGCAAAAGATCACAGTAGTGCCTTCTTCTAGTCCATGGGAACTGTGGCTGGGTCAAAGGTTAAAGTACAGGGAGGACAGTAGAGGAAAGAAATGCCTTGGCGTTGTTTCTAAGCTGTCTGTGGTTGTGTACTGTCAGGTCGGATCCCACCCATAGCTGACCCTCCAGAGGGTTTTCAGAGGCAAGTCAATTGCTCCGGAGGAGATTGCCTATCCCTCTTCCTCGGAGCACCTGTTGGCCTTGAACCGCATGCATTTGGGATTGCAGCGCAGCTTCTTGCCACAAGGCCACCAGAGTTCTAAGTTTCCAAACTGTATATGCGTCTAATTAAGGCTAACCCCTCAAGAAAGAAACTACATACTAGGTATCCCATTGAGGCTGAACAGGCATCTAGCTACAAGACTAACAGACATATTACGCCTATAGACACAAACAGGATTTTTGTTGTCAACATCAGTGAATACAGGTTGAGGAATATCCATGTGCCAAGGACATAATATTCAATGATCACAAAGTTAACAGTTGATTTCTTTTAATCAGAAGCTTACTATATGTCTTTGAGATATATAAATCTGTGGAACTCTGGTAGCTTAGTGGTAAGGAGCTGTGCTGCCAACTCAAAGACAGGCAGCTCGAATCTGCCAGCTGCTCCTTGGGAGAAAGCTGGGCAATCTCCTTCCATGTGATTTAAAGCCTCTGAAAACCTGCTGGAGGGTCAGCTAGGAATTGATTCACTCATTATTCTTTATGCTTATGTTGTTATGTGCCCTTGAGCTGGAATCAACTCATGGTTGACATTCCACTGGGTTTTCAGAGGCTGCAAATTGCATTGGAGATTTACCAGCTTTCTCTCCTAAACTCTATGTCGATAGTTGTAAGGGGCTTCAGGCCTTTTGGTCATAGGGGTCACTATGAGTTGTGCTCGACTCGAAGGTAATCAACAACAACTAGATAGATAGATAGATAGATAGATGTATAGATAGATAAAGATATATGATATATGTGATATTATATAGATTAGGTAAGAAGCTGCATTGCCATCTTGAAGGCAAATGGTTTGAGGCCACTAGCTGCTCCACGAGAGAAAGACTGGCAATCTCCTCCTGTGTGATTAGCTGCCTGTGAAAATCCACTGGCGGGGCAGCTATGGGTTGGTTCTGACTCTATGGTACACCACCACCACCACATTATCTAGATTGGGGAGCTCTGGTGGCCTATTGGTAAGCTGTGCTGAATTCCCAAAAGCATGCAGTTCGAATCCATCAGCTGCTACTTGGGAGAAGGTTGGGCAATCTACTCCCATGCCATTTACTGTCTATTAACACCCACTGGAGGGATAGCTATGAGTTGGTGCTGATCCAAAAGCAATCAACAACAACATTATATATATTATACATATAAAAAGAAATAAAATATAGGTAGATCCCAAAGCTCTAAGCGGCATTTCTGTTTCGATCCTCACAATAACTTTATTAGACAAAGAAGGCAAAAGCGTTGATGTTAGCATCTCCATGTTTCACAGATCTTCTGACTCACCAGAGATTAAGACGACGCCTTCTGACACACATTTTAAGCAGTACACAAAGAAAATACAAGAAACACTGATTTGGCTCAATGATGTGCCTAATGAAAGGCTTTGTTTATTTAGTTTAACATTTTTTTAAAAACATCCCCTGGAAATGGGCCGAGGGGAGCTGATGGCCTGATTGAGACAAAATGCTTTCGCAGCAATTCCAGGGCCCTGTTGTTTCTTGCTTGCAGGGTCTTCTCAATTCGAAGCTCACTCTTGATAGCATCCAGTTCATCTCGAATCTTCTCCATTTCTAGGTCATAACACAATTTCATTTCGTCTTTTATAAGTGCAGTCCCCACCTCCATTTGCTGCTTCAGCTTCTTAATAGTTTCTTTTAAATCCCTATTCTCCAGGTTCAACTTGTGGATGACTTCTTTGGCTTGCTGAAGCTCTTTAGTTAAGTTTTTTACATTGGTTGCTTTTTTGGACAGGTCATTGCGTAAAGCCTGGAGTTCACAGTATTTCTTGGAAGTATCTACCCCCCTTTCTCTCACGTTTTGGATTTTGGGAGAGACATCTCTCTTGGAATCCAACAGTTCCTTTTCAGCACTTTCAAATTCCTCTTCAATTTTTTTGCATTTTTTATTAAGTTCTTCCAGTTCTGCATTCAAAAGATTCAGGCGGGTTTTGGGAGACATTCCATCTACACATTTCTTTTTTGCATCACTGCTGTGCCGTAGCTGTCGCCCCATTGGTGACTCCTTCAGGCCATAGGCAGAATGACTGTCTGTGCTATTCATGCTTTCTTCGGCTGGGACATCTAAACTCAATGCTTCACAAGAGGCAGAAAGATCCGTGACAATCTCTGAAAAGTTCACCCGTCTCTCTCTTAACTTCGGTCCTTGATCTTTTTCACTCAGTTGGGAAAGAGACTCTTTTTTCATCATTTTGTTTTCCTCCTGGAACTTTTGACTGGACAAATGGGAACGTTCCCCCATTCTTCTGCCTTTTTCGAGAGCTGTCTGCTCAGAGGATTCAAGTAGAGAAGCCTGCCGTGGACAATCCCACGCATCACATAAAGGAGTAAATGTAGTCTCATTCTTTTGTTTTCTTCTCACATCCATTTTTTCTGGAACTGTTTCCAAATCCTGGAAAACAAAATAGAAAACCAAGGTGCATTATTTCCACTGGCAGCTAGTGTCACAGAAAGAGCTAAGGATGCTAGCCACAAGCAAAGGGCCAGCTCTCCCCTTATTCTCTGAGCAGTCCAGGCATCATTCTCTCATTTATAAATGGGAACATATTCTCATTTATAAATGGAAAAGGGTTCAACTGGCTGAGTTCTCCAGACCTTTCCAGCTTTAACATTCTCCAATCTCTTATGAAATATAACCTGTAAATGGACACACCGGTTGTTTATGATAGACAGGCAAGCTAATTATGTGAGAAAGCAAGTATACAGAGTATCCTATAACTACAATAAAAATCCTTTCAAACTAATAGGTTAAGATTGTTAATACTTGGCCTTCCAGTGCATCTGATTTTTTTTTTCTCTTGGTTTTTTTTTTTTTTTTTAGTTGGACTACTGTTTATTCATTCTTTAAAGTGACTAAAACATCAGGGCTTAATGCAATGTGAGCTGCTTTTGGTAAAGTATACCATGCAGACTTCCTATGAGTAACTGCCAGATGCCCTTCGGTCTTGACCTGTACATTCCTGCTATTCCAGTCCTGGGCTATGCTTTCAGGCAAGACTGCCAAGTATACAGAAATCTATCTGTTTTGACAGCAATTTCATGATGAGAACCCAAAGTCAACAGTTGAAATTATGAATGTCACCAAATGTCTTTTCTTCAATGTGCTGATTCCAAATGTATTTTTCAGGGAAAACCAACTTGGTTTATTAAATTACTATGCAATCAACTTCCCAAATCTATAAGGATTAGAAGAGGATGATTTTGCTTGAAAAGGAGTCTTTTTTTATTCTGAGGGAGTCCTTAGACTAGAACACTGACATTTTTGTTCAGCATCTAGGAACTACTTTTGAGTAAAGAGAGAAAGAGGGGCTCAAGTAACTTGCTGAATCGTCATGGGGATCTGACGTCACCAAACTGCAGTTACCTCCAGAGAATGGGAAGAATAGGGTGTGGGACACTTTAATCACTAAACACCATAATTTTTTATGCAAATAGAACACACATTACACATTTTTTCCCAGCCTTGAAACCCTCTCATACATGACTTTCTAGGCATACAGTACAAGTTATATGTGTGGACATTTTACTTGTGAAAAATATGGTACATTCATTTACTATAATATATTCACAGCACCTCTACCGAGAAAAATCAAAGCACACCTGCACCATTTCCCCCAAATGCATTCATGTTGTTTTATCCTGGTAATGAGAAATGGTAGTTGCTGTGTTTATACTTCAATTAGCACATTCTTTCTGATCATGAAAGCATTGCGCATTATCTGTAGACATTTGGGGAGATACAGAAAAGCACATGAACCCCAAAGGGAAAAAGATGATCCTATGCCCCATGATAAACACTTTTTGACATCTTCTCTCACCAGTGTCTCCTTTTTATCAATAATATTTCTAACAACATGGCCTTTTCTTTGCTACACAAGCAACCAGAGAGGAAACTCACTGCTCACAGGTACTAACCATGCTTGATACTCATCCTCGAAGAGACTCACTCAACTCAAAGGTCCGACCTAACTGGTAACTTAACTACTTGGTTCTAAGGAAAATCTAAGTTATTCTGAAAACAAACTCTTTGGGGGTGAGAGAGTTCAGTGGAGGTATTCAAATGTTTGGTTCAAAAGTCACAAGTCAGATTACAGTGATAAACTTAGACCTGAAATCCATGCAGCCATATTCCTCATGGTAACTTTATCTCCTCTCCTTTCTGCTTTTTACTATCCTGTTAGTCAACACACAGACGTATCTACACTGTTCTTAAAAGGGTAAACACTCAAAATCTTGCTCTCCCACATCTCTGGAAGAATGGATGCAAATGAGTGGGATGAGATGTCAAGGAAAGGAACAGAGAAAAAAAGAAAATGGTGCTAACTGCCAGTCCATTTTTGACCAGATGATTCTGTAAAAGATAAAATCACTTTGAAACACACACTGCAATGATTCTTTATCCTACCTAATTCTAGAGGAAAGGCATTGTTGGGCTTGACCAGGAAAGAGGTGAGCAGAGAAGGAAGTAAGATTCTGGTGGCCTAGTGGCAAGAAGGTGCAACTACAATCCCAGAGGTGCATGGTTTGAATCCACCAGATGCTCTGCCGAGGAAGGAGGGGCAATCTCCTCCTGTTCCAGTCAGATCTGATTTGACGGTACACGCACACAAAAATAATAAAGTAAAAAAAAATATTTAAAAAAAAAGAAGGAAGTAAGATGAGACCACTTTATACCTGGGGAGAGCAGCAGTGATAAACCTGACATAGAGGTCTGAGTAGACATAAAGGTTAGGAAGAAGTCTCCGGCAATATATACATATTGATTTTCATTTCATTACCTTTCTCTCCAGAGCCTCTACAGATTCCTAGAAAAAGCTGAAGGAAATGTCTCTCAGGGCACCCTGTATAGTCGATGCCTTTCACAGAACAGAGAAAAGCCCGCTCATTCTCTAAATGAGGCTCAGAGAGGTTGGGAGACTTGACCAAGGGCCACACCTGAAGGTGGTAAAACAGAGAAGGACGCTGCCTGCCAGTTCAGTGCACATTCTGAAACACTGCTCCTTATTCTTCTGCTAGGTTTTATTTTGCAAGTTAAAAGAGAAACGACCCCACTATTTTTGGAGCTTAGGTATTTTTTTAAAGGCCACAAAAGGAGAAAGGAAAAAAAATGAAGAGGGGGGGAAGGAGAACTGCATGTCACATATCAAAGGGCAGAAAGAGAAAGGAGAAAGGTTTGTAAAGCCTTTTGGAATTTCCCTCCCATGGCTTACACAGAGCAGGGTCAAAGGGTCTCTGAGCTGCTCCTTTTCTTTCTTTCTTCTTTGTGTGTGTGTGTTTGTATGTGTGTGTGTGTGTGTGTGGTGGATCTGGGAAGAAGTTCTTTCACCGGCAAGACAGGCTTTAAGAGCTTGTTCCCAACTCTAGTCACAAAGTATGGCAAAGCCATTTTCTGCTCACAAATGACACTGTTTACTTTTTATGCTAAACGAGTCTGGCCTTAGTGCTCTACGGTAAGGACAGGGGATTTGCTTATGGGCTTTGGTCTATTTTATGAGCATATCTTTCTGAAACAGTGACACTCTTCTACCCAGTCTGCCAGCCATCTTGCTCTCAATAAATCTGACTGCGTAATCTGTTGTGGTATATATAAGCCAAATCAGACTAGAAGCCATTAGTGAAAGGCTAAATATGACTTGATAGTGGAAGAGTTGTCAACATTTATTGGAGTAAGTGCCCACCCAACAAGATATTGTGTTCAGAGGGCCTGAAGGGGGTGGGTTGAAAAGCCAAGAGAAATGACAAACTTTAAGGAACAAGTAAGTCAGAACAAAGACAGGAAAACCATATAGAAATCGTATTACAAAAATACCACGAGTGGTCCTTTATGACAGCAATACCTTCAGAAGCCCTGGTACCTTGCTGGTAAGGCATGGGGTCTGCTACGTGACTACATCAACTCATTTGTGTCTCGCATGAATTAATAACGGAGTCCTATGATTTTAGTTAAGAAGCCCTGGTGGAGTAGTACAAAATGTATTGGGCTACTAATCAATGGTTGGCAGTTCGAATCCATCAGACACTGTTCAAGAGAGAGATGGACAGTCTTCTCCCATAAAGAATGACAGCCTCGAAAGGCAGCGGAGTCTCATGTGCTTTATATGTACCGGAAGAATTTGAGAACCACTAATAAAAGAAATCGGAAATGTGTTTATAATGTAATGTGATGTAACATAATATAAATGCTGAGAGTTCCACAAAGAATGATCACTTCTTATGGATCCTGAGGCAGAAGCAGCCCATATAAATCCCAGGTGGATGAAGATCTAGCTTTAAGGAACTTCCGAAAATAACATTACTGCTTATTGTGAAAGGTGAGACCTACAAAATCATCTCTTTTCCTTTCAAGTTATGCTATTGTATGCGATCCTGGGAACATGGTCAAATTGAGTTAGAAACGTGATCAAACATGTGAAATGCAATTATTTCTTAAAAATACTTCCATTTTAAATCACATGCTTTAGACAAATTGATGGGGGGGGGGAAGCCCGAAGCTCTTTTCCTGCTGCTTCATCTCACTTACACTAGGATTTGATTTCAAGTATTTAGCCCTCCTTTTTTTTTTTCTTTTTTCTCTTTTTCTTTTGGATGAATCCAGATTTGCCTGTAAAACATGATGATTTTTTTTTTTTCTGGGCAAGAGCAGGCAGGGAGTGGCAAACTGTTCTAGAAGAAATCCAGAGGCTTTCCCTTCACCTCCCCAAAATCTTTCACCTCCTGTTTAGTCAATAGGGAATGATGGTTGGAAAAGGGGAAAGGTCATAGGCCTCTGCTGGTCAGCCTTCTGTCACTGCCCCACCCGGTCAGTCCACCTCAGATGGGGTAGGGCTTTCAGCCACTGCCTAAGGGCAGTGAGGCCAGACAAAAGGGTCCCTCTCAGTCCAAAGAACTCTCTCCTATTATTCCTGGATGGCTTCAGTTCTCCTGACCCTCAGAAAAACTGCTGGGCAGAAGAAGGAGGGGGGGATCCGCCACAATGAAAGTTAGTGGCCTTATTTCTTTGTTCTATTGTCCACTCTGCCCACTTAAAAGCAGTGCTTCTCAGCCTCCTGTCTCCTCCCTATTGCCAGGCACAAAACACTGCCACCATCACCCCCTCTTGTTAGAGGAGAGGATGTTAACCCACCACCCTCTCCTCCTTCTGAAACACCAACACGAGAACCCGAAGGAACTGGCTGAAGTCAAGGTGAGCCCACAGGTCATATGGCACAAAACCGTGAGGCAAAAAGGAAAAGGAATTTCTTGTGAAACAGATTGAGCGTGGGCTATGGGAGAAAAAGACTGAAAAAACTCCAAAATCTTGGCTCTCTCTCTTTGTTGTTGTTGTTGATGGCTGTCGAGTTGAGCACGACTCATAGCGACCCTATAAAC